GAACTTATCCCTATCCATAGGAGCGACCAGCCCGAGACGATGGTCAGCCTTAGAACTGCCACTTTTCAAATCTACAGAATTTCTCGAAGTTGGCACCGCGAAAAGGTGATGCCATACACTTTTCAATCGGCATCGCTGGCGAACACGTAGAGGCCTCCTACATCGGGTCGCAGCAGATGGGGTCGAAGGATCCCGCCGCATCGCTGATGCATCGGCGATGCATCGGCGATGCATTGGCGCCGTCGGCGTGGCGAAAGTCGGGCTCCGCATCGAGCTGCATCGCCGATGCATCGGCGATGCGGCGCGATCCTTCGACCCCCCCACTCTACTCGGACCCCACCTGGGAGGCCTGGAACGCGGGCGCGGGGGTCGGTACCAGCACGGCGCGCCAGACGCGGGGAGCGCGAGCCACGACTGGGAGGGGAGAGGGGCGGCCGCAAAGGAGGAAGGAGGGAGGCCCGCCGTGGAGAGTCGGCGGGGAAGAGGCGCGCGGGGGGGCCTCGGGTGCCAGGGAGATCTGGTGCGAAGTGCAGGAGAGTAGAGATTCCAATCACAGGGGTTAGAAGAAGTAAAAACGTCATAAACATAAGCTTTCGGCGCTGCGCGGGGATTTCTTGGATCTGCGCTGGACCCCTCTCCCTTGCGCGCGGAGCGCGCCAGGGGCGGCGACGGTGGGGCCCAGCGCGAATCCAAGGAATCAGCGCGGAGCGCTTGTTTATAGCGATTTTTCTCCTTCGAGGGATGGGAATATGTCAAGCTGGTGAGTTCTCAAACGCGGCAGTCCCGCCGACTCTGGCTGCGGCCCGTCGTCAAGAGCAGCGCGGGCGATGGGACATCCACGGCCCGACGTCGGCCCACGAGGGCGGAAACAATCACGAGGACACGTGAAGGTACCATGGCATGGTAAGGCTTCGAGTTGCGCACAGACAGTCCCCAAGGTAGTCCGGCCTGGCCTCAACGGGCCCCCCGAGCAGTCCCAGCCGGCCTCAACGGGCCCCCCCAGAAGTCCAGGGCGGTGTCAACACCCAAACCCTGAGGAGCGGAGCGCCCCAGGGGTGCCGCCAGAGGCGGCGCCAGGGTGTTGAGACCGCCCCAGGCTACTCGGGGGGGCCTGTGGAGGCCAGCTGGGACTACCTGGCGGGGCTGGCTGTGCGCAATCCGAAGCTTTACCTCCACGGCACCGGATAGCTTACAGAACGCACGAGACTGGACAAGCGCGTTCCACTACTCGCACATCAAGAACTCCCAGATGGCCCGGATCCGCAGCGGGGGATTTACGATATGTTACATAGGAGGAAGACATGTTTTTCTCTCTGACGTTTGCGAGTAGGCACTTTGCGAGTAGTGGAACGCGCTCGGCGACGTTTGACGGCCACGGGGCCCAGGGAGGGCCCTGGGAGAGAAAAAATATGGAAAAACAAATCCAATACCCCTTTCCCGCAGGAACCTTCTGTGGCAACTCACGAGAACCTCCCGTTTTGTCCTGCTGGCTCTTGCGAATCGACGCTGATAAACGTCAGTCAACGCTAAATCGACGCTAACCGACGCTAAATCGGCGCTAGTCGACGCTAAATCTGCGCTTTCGCGTCGACTACCAGACGCTAGCGCTCGGGAATGCATTCCGAACGCGGACGTGCGAGGCAGGGGGGAGGGGGGGGGACGGCAGGGGACATCACGTAGCGCCCCCCCCCAGACTGTGGTGCCGGACGCACCGCGGCAGTGCTGGGGACGCACTGAGGGGGGGAGCGTTGCGTTATGGGGGGGGGGGAAGGGGGGGGGAGGGAGCATGATGCGCGTTATGGCCCAGAGGGGGGGGGGGGGAGAAACAAGAAAAAAACACAAAAATCAAAAAAAAAAAAAAAAAAAAAAAAAAAACTCCAGCGAACGCAGGCCGCCCCACGCGCTCCTTTTGGCTGCCCCTGCGCGGTCCTCGGCGCCTCTCTCTCTTCTGCCGCGGGGCCCGAGCCCGGCGCGAGGCCGACCGCTGGGCGCGCGAGCAGCCCGCTCTCCACCGCTCCCCCCCGCCGGCCCCCCTGCCTCTCCCTCGGGGCGGAGGAGGGGATGGAGGATACAGGGCAGTTTTTAAAACATGGGATGTAAAAAAACATGGGATTGTTTTAATAAATGATGAATGTATGAATAAATGTATGCATGAACGCATCGTTGTTTTTAATACTAAATCCCTGCATGTTTAATACATGATCCGAACGCGGAGCATGTATCAAAAACGGCACTGTAAGGGGAACCTCGGGGGAGGGGGGGCGTAGATAGAGGCGCCTGCGGAGTGCCGGGTGAGGAGAGGAGGCGAGGAAGAACCGCAGCTGGACTCAAGAGCACAGGGGTCCGTGGCAGCCCAACGGGGCTCAGGGCACGACAAGCTACATGGGCAGGAGCACCCGGTGAAAGAGCAGAGCTCAGCAGGCACGGCTGCGCAATTCTGCCTCGGGTGGCCGCCCTGCCGGAAGGCGAGAACCCCAACCGCAGGCCCACAGGCCTCCATGGCCACAGGGAAAAACGAGAGCCGACAGGATCGAGGGCAGAAACCTCAACCGACCGAAACCGATGGAGCGAGAGCAGCCGCCCAGTAGGACGCAGCGGCGCAGCAACCGACCGAACCGAACCGACCAAGAGCAGCCGACTGCGAGCAGGGAGCCCAGGAGATACGTACGCGCCCAGCCACGTGCCTGAATGCTGGCCCCCCCTGTCCGCGAGGCCAGCCTCGTCATACGAACGCTCGCGCAACAAACTCTCGAAACCCACGAAAATCTGCGCACGCGTACGTTCTCTTTTCCCCGCTCCTGGGAGCGAAGCAGCCGAACCAACCGAACCGCGGGCACGGCCCCCCATGCAATCCTGCTGGCTCTTGCGAATCGGCGCCCCTCGACGCTTATCAACGCCAGCCGAAGCTAAATCGACGCGAATCGGCGCTGGATCGGCGCTGAGACGGCGCTTTCTCAGCGATTGCCAGACGCTAGCGCACGCGAGCAGGTAGGACGGAGGAGAAGGATGGGGCGGTCCTCCTCATCCTTCCTCCTCCTCCTCCTCCTCCTCCTCCTCCTCCTCCTCCTC